TTAACTATGTTTTCTATGATTTTTTTGGATGATCAGGTATCGTTACTGTTATTTTATGTGCAGCCCAAACCAAATTTTCATCTTCTAATGTGGCCCAGGGAAGGTGAAAGGTTGGACACCCCTGCTTTAAATCTTGCTTCCCACCACTGAGGCTTCTCATCCCTTCCTTTCTCCCTTGCTTATTCTTCTCCTTACCCTTTTTACCCCTTTGTCTCTCCACCTCCCTTTTCTTCTTCTGCTTTCCCCCTTTCTGTTGTTTTCTAACCTTGTGTCCACCTTTCACCTCATTTTTCTCTTTTTTGGTTGTTTTTTCAAATCTTAAAGTCCCCTTTGTCTTTACCTCTTTCTCCTCCTCCCCAAATAGAATCACTTGTTCATCAAAGATGGCTTCTTCTTTATCCCAATTGTCCTGCTGCGCAGTCAATTTTTCATAAGTACATACCACCATTTCTAGAAATTGAAAAAGAGTGCCCAAAGTATCTTTCCCTTCTTGTTCTTCTTTTTTGTATTTTTGATATTCAATTTTTAATTTATCCACAAGCGATGCCATTGTAAAGAGAAATTTTTTTTCCCAAATAACCAACCAAGTGCTTTTAATCAAGAATAATTCCCAAGGGTTCCAAAGTCACCAAACAATCCAAATAAGCTATTTCTTTTAACACTTTTTTCTTTCTTCCATTTCTCTTTCTGGGGTTGCTGTTTAATCACAAAGTTCCAATTAAGATATATCTTTTTGAAGTCTTATTAATGTTCAATAGCTCTTTAAAATTCTAGGCAGTCTCCTCCTTGTTTTCAAATTCTACTCCAATTTTTTTTCCTCTCCCTTCCCACTTACAGCAAAAAAGATTTTTCTTTAAATATTCAGAAATCCATATCCCATTAGCATTTAGCATACCTCCAATGCGGGTTTTCCGATTTCTCATAAAGTTCTATCGCTGTCACGTTTGGAAGGAGAGTGAAAAGAAAAAAAGTTTTTCCTTTAACTTCCATTCGCCGCTTAGCACAGTCTGGAAACGATGTATCTTTAGTAAGTTTTAAGTTCTAGGGTACTTTCACTGTTACTTTGTCCCGGTCAGCAAAGATCACTTTCATTTCTTCACAGCTCCTCCTGCACTTTCTTTTTCCAGCTGAGCTCTTCTATGTGGCGACCATTGCTGACCACCACTCAGCTGCCTTTGGAAAAGAGGGTTTAGCCGGCTAGTGAAGAGAGGTGCGATATCTCTCGACCCTGCCAGAGCCCCCCTGTCTTCGCCCCCTTCTACGGAGGTGGCTTAGCCCCGAAGCCGGATGGCTCGGGGCACTCGGGCAGTGAACACAGGCAGAAACCGCGTACAGTCACGGATTCCTGCCTGCTCCGAAGCGCTGCAGACCGGAAATCCCCTCATCGCACTTTTAAGGCATTGCTTCAGAAACAATTACAAACTGAGTCTGGCCCTTACCATCTGCAAAAGATTCAAAATCTCATTGCTGTAGCATTATATACTTGGAATTATTTAACCTTTTTAGATTCTCTTGCAGACTCACCTGTTAATTTGCATTTTTGAACTACTGAATCTTTAGCAAGGCCTTTGGAAAAGTATCATCAAGCTCTAGATTCAACCTGGAAAGGCCTTACACCACTGATCACCTGGGGTCGCCGCCAGTGAAAGATCCTTCTACTCTACAAGCAGTGTGGGTTCCAGCGTGCTGTGTTCGTCCATATCATGGCATGGCATCAGGGCCTTCACAACCCAATCCTGGATTTCAATCTTCATCTGAACACGGAAGTCCGTCTTCCAAGGTCGACGCACCCGCAACCCATCACTTGGGGCCAGGTTAAATCTACTACATATCGAGCTTAACAATAACTGCAACCGGCCTCATTACCTCAGACTCCTGAAAATGTTGTTGCTGCTGTTTTTGCTATTATTACTGCTAACTCTGTTTACCATTTTACTTTGTATTTTCTTGTTTATGGTTAGTGGATATGTTTCTGCTAGTCTTCTGCTTGTCCTTCATGGTGGCTGTGGCAGTTTTTACACTGTATATTGTAAATGATTCCTGGGTTTCCCCACCACCACCCGGGGCCTGCTGGGTCTTTTGGTCTACATATTTTGGAGACCTTTAGTTGGTTTGTGTGCTATGCTGATGCCATGTAGTTCAGTGGTAGAATTCAAAAAAAAATTATTACTGGTTCTGTGGGTGTGGCTTGGTGGGCGTGGCAGGGGAAGGAGACCGTAAAATCTCCAATCAGAGGTGGTATTTGCCGATTCTCCGAACTACTCAAAATTTCTGCTACCAGTTCTCCAGAACTGGTCAGAACCTGCTGAATACCACCTCTGGATGAAATGTATTTTAGCAATATTAATACCAAATTAAAAGGGAAAACTTAAATACTACCTATCTTCTCTGTTGCAGAATTGCCATGCAACAATGTATGTATGCTGTTCTGAATTCAATCCTGATGCAATACTTCGGATACTCATAAAAATCAAGTGTGTTAGAAAAACACTCTCTTGGTATAATGTTTCTTTATTTTCTAATAATCAAGACACATTGTCAAATTAAAAAGAGGTGTTCCCATTCATACATTTAGGCTTTTTCTGTCTAACCTGGAGGCAGTAAACTAATTAAATGATGAGGATTCAATAGGAAGCTACAGTTAAAACACAAACACAATAAAACAGGGGTGTGAAACTCACGGCTTGTGGGCCAGATGCGTCACATGCTGGCCTTGCCCACATCCAGTTTAGTGAAGGGGGAGAAAGCCCCAATTCATCATGTGACAACGCGTGACAACGCAAGTTTGACACCCCTGTAGTAAAATATCTCACTATCAGTTCTAGTCGACAGAGTAATAGTATGGAGCCTTATTAAGGTAGTGTGCTCTAACAGGAGCCTTCTGCTATTATTTAGTATACAAATAATGGTTTAAGGCACAAAGACAGGACACACAGATGGGTCTCAATTAGAATCAGTGTTTCAGATACGTTTTTCACTGTGACATTAACTATTTCTGATTATAGTTCATTCCATGCAAACTGACTGCATCTATGATTTCACTGTAATTTCAGGAGTATAGCATTCCACTTTTTAAAAAAAGACCCATGCATTATTTTTGGATAATTTTGCAAAACTATAGCTCTGAGAATGTAGCGATTCAGGATATAACCTTTATTTCATAGTGGTTTCACGTAAAAAATATAAGGATCCATAAATGTATCCAAGATGAACCTGATGTTACATACATTTTTAAGACAACACAGTTCCACTTTTGAAGAGTTAACTCATATCAGAGGTATTAGACCTGTGCTAACGACTGCCAACAGCATGCAAATTAAACAGCATGAAACCTACAGGTAGTCCTCAACGTACGACTGCTATTGAGCCCAACATTTAAGTTTCAAAGAGAGAAATTTGTTGAGTTTTTCCCCATTTTATGACTTTTCTTGCCACATTTGTTAAGTGAACCACTGCAGTTGTTAAATTAGAAACAGAGTCATTAAGTGAATCTGGTTTCCCCATAGACTTGGCTTGTCAGAAGATGGCAAAAGGGGATCAGGTGACCCTGGGACAACACTGCAACCATGGAAAATGTGAGTTGGGTGGCAAGCATCCAATCAGGTGACCATGGGGAAGGCTGCCACGGTCGTTAAGTGTGAAAAACGATAAGTCACTTTTTTTCTTACAATACTAGACAACACAATATCAACAGTAAAGACCTTCAAGTTTCTAAGTTCTTCCATATCTCAAGACTTAAAATAGACATCTAACATCAAAAACGTCATCAAAAAAGCACAACAAAGAATGTTCTTTCTGCGCCAACTCAGAAAGTTCAAACTGCCCAAGGAGCTGCTGATACAGTTCTACAGAGGAATTATTGAGTCTGTCATCTGCACCTCTATAATTGTCTGGTTTGGCTCTGCAACCAACAAGACAGACACAGACTTCAGAGAGTAATTAGGACTGCAGAAAAAGCAATTGCTACCAACCTGCCTTCAATCGAGGACCTGTATACTGAGTCAAAAAGAGGGCTGTGAAAATATCTACAGACCCCTCACATCCTGGACATAAATTGTTTCAACTTCTACCCTCAAAATGACGCTATAGGGCACTGCACACCAAAACAACTTGACACAAGGACAGTTCTTTCCCAAATGCCATCACTCTGCTAAACAACTAATTCACATAAAACTGTCGAACTATTTAGTAAGACTGTATTACTATTATTCCTCTCATCCTTCCTAGTACCTATCTCTTCTCACTTATGATTATAACTCTGTTGCGTGTAACTTTATAATTTATATTGCTTTGTTTCCTGGTATGATTTGATCGCTTCTTAGTAACCTATGACTATCACTAAGAGTTGTGCCTTATGATTCTTGATGAATGTATTTTATTTTTCTTTTATGTACACTGAGAGCATGTGCACCGAAGACAAATTCCTTGTGTGTCCAATCACACTGGGCCAATAAAAGAATTAATTAATTCTTTCTTTCTTTCTTTTTCTTTCTTTCTTTCTCTGTGTAACTTCAAAGCATCCAAACAGGTGACCCTGGGGAAGGCCGCCAGGATCGTTAAGTGTACGGTCATAAGTCACTTTTTTCCCAGTGCCGTTGTGGTAACTTCAAACGGTCACTAAGCCAAGGGTTGTAAGTCGAGGACTACCTGTATAAAGATCAGCATAGGACCGATGTCCAACCCGCAGGCCTTAGAAGGGTGGCCACCTTTCTCGACCTCTCGGATGTGGCGCACCTCTTGGTGCCGAACAGCGCCCTCAGGGCAATATCCTGGGCGCCATCTCGAGCAGATCAGCTAGGAGTGCTGGATGAGTCTGGCTTTCTGCAAATGAGTCCTTAGGAGGCTATCAGCGGCATCCCAAGCAACCTGGCGCACAACGTTTTCAAGTGCGTAACAGAAGCATCTCTATCCGGAGCCACCTGGAGCCCCGCCTCTGCCCCGCTTTCTTTCCAGAGCCCGCCCGCATCTTAAAAGGCCCAACGGCAGCCTCACTCACCGACCTCTTCCTCTCGGTTTTTGCCCTCGGGACGGAAAGGATCCAGGCGAGCTCCGCGTAAGGAGCTCCGTCGCCCGCGAAGCCCAAACGGACGAGGAGATAAATGAACCACCACCAGCAGCCCCCACTCTCCCTTGCCCACACAAACAACAGTCCGCAGGAGATCCGGAAGCGGAAGCGACTTCCCAGGCTGCGGCAGAGGTTGGGAGAGCGGGAATGGCTTTCTACGGCACGTGGGCGGAGAGAATGGAGCGGGAGGGTGAAGGGTGGGGGGAGCGGTTTGAAAGAACTGGGCGCCGAGAAGCGCTGCCTGCTTGCGTGGCATGCTGACGAAGCGTGGAGTCCTCTTCGCCGTTGAAAGTCGCGGGATTCGAAAGGCGCGCTCCGGGGCTACCTCATATCAGGGACGCCTGATAACATCCGTCCCTTTTCCGGGCTCCGCATGTATTTATTTTATTTATTTATTTTTATTTATTTGTCACGCGATTATAAGATAACAGGTATAAGTATAAACATACTTATGACTACATGATAATGGATACATAAAAGAAAAATATAAAAGAAACAATAGGACAGGGACGGTAGGCACGTTGGTGCGCTTATGCATGCCCCCTACATACATCTTAGGAAAGGGGTGAGGTCAATAGTAGACAGTCTAAGGTTAAAGTTTTTGGGGTTTGGGGAAGAAACCACAGAGTCAGGTAGAGTATTCCAAACATTGACCACTCTGTTGCGTCAATGTATGGAATACATAGGTGGAACTCGACTTAACAAGAGTTCATTTAGTGCGGAGGTCTCAAACTTGGCAACTTTTAAGACTTGTGGACTTCAACTCCATAGCTGGCTGGAGAATTCTGGGAGTTAGTTGCCAAGTTTGGGGACCCCTGCTTTAGTGACTGTTCGAAGTTACAAGGGCAATGAAAAAAGTGACTTATAACCGTTTTTCAGAGTTATGACCTTCGAAGCATCCCCATGGTCCATGATCAAAATTCAGGCACTTGGCAAAGGGTTCATATTTGTGACAATTGCAGTGTCATGTGATCACCTTTTGCAACTTCTGACAAGCAGCATCAACGGGGAAGCCAGATTCACTTGAACAACCATGTTACTTTTCAACTGTTGTAATGACCAGGCAGTCGAGTTGTTTGATCATGAACAACTGAATCATGATGATTTTTATTGGAGTCTACTCTTGCATTTATATACATTTTTAGTTATCCTCCATCACTGGTTAACTTTGGTTACTGCTTAACTTTCGTTACTGTTTAGCATTGTAATCCATACAATTAATTATCTCTAGTTAAAGTCTAACATATGTTTACTTCCTCTCTCTAATCCTCCTTTAGATTAGTGACTTTGTTTACCTGAGTTGTATTTGCTTGGAAACATTCTTTATCTGAGGTTTTCCATCCGAGTTTGGAACATTCCTGCAATTACAACTCTACATTCAACTGCAGTGATTCACTTAACAACCGTGGCAAGGAAAGTCGTAAAATGGGCAAAACTCACTTAACAAATGTTTCACTTAACAGAAATGTTGGGTTTGATTGAGTCGGAACTTGAGGACTACCTGTACATCAAATCCCTGGTCAGAGATTCTCCTCCCTAGGATCTCTGTAGCCTTTGCGCCACACCAGAATGGAGTTCTCAATGAGTCACTGCACTGTCCCCATGATGTAGCATTATAACGATTTACGCGGTGCTTCTCGGAATGGGAAAGTCTGTTCCATGTGCCAGATCTTGCCTGGGCACATCTTCACATAGTCTGCGCAAAAGGAGTTACAATGCCAGGAAATCCTTGGTCTGCATGTAGGGGTGTGGCCAAGTGCCAACTCTGGCTTAGTTTACCTGGTGCGATGGGCCAATTAATCAAGCAGAGTGGAGGGAAGTGGAATCCAAATACAGCTAGTCCTCGATTTACATTTCTTTTAGTGACCAAAGTTACAACAGCAGTGAAATATGTGATTTTTCTGTTACGATCTTTGCAGCATCTCCATGATCATGTGATCAAAATTCACATGCCTGGCAACTGGTTCATATTTATGACCTTTTCCAACATCATATGATCACTTTTGTGACCTCACGAAGCAACGAAGAAGCCAGGTCCACTGAACAACTGGGTGACTAACATATCAGCTGCAGTGATTCACTTAACTCTGGCAAGAAAAGTCGTAACCTGGGACAAAACTCACTTGACAAATGTCTCACTTAGCAACAGAAACATTGAGCTCAGTTGTGCTTGTAAATTGAGGACTACCTGTACTTTATTTCTGCACAGGAGCAAGAGGCATTTCGCTGATTGCTTCAGCAACAGCGAAGCCCTGAATCATGTTTACATCAAGCTTTTTATAATGTTTGCACAAGGAAGCATAAGGTTGTAATTTCAATTTTTGGTCAGTTGTCACTTCCTAGTTCTAATTACTGCAATCCCAAGTAGAACAACAATCAGCCAACACTGCAAAAGAGAAATGCAAGAAGGAACAAACCAGGTTTCTGGCTCCATCTTATGGTTGTTGGAGGAACCTCAGCCAATCACAATTACAGCATTCTCTTAAAGATACAACAGTATTAAATGACTATCCTGGTTTATATATTGCCAACCCAACTGTTAGGTGACTATCATTCCTAACAATTCCAAGAAGCTGGCCACTACTTTTAGATCTCCAGTTATTCCAGGCACAGTGGTTAGAATGCAATACTGCAGACTACTTCTGTTGATAACCATCTGGCAGCAGTTTGGCAGTTTGAGTCTCATCTGCTCCGGGTTAACTCAACATTCCATCCTTCGGAGGTTGGTAAAATGAGGACCCAGATTGTTGGGGGCAATAGGCTGACTCTCTAAACTGCTTAGAGAGGGCTGTAAACCACCGTGAAACGGTATATAAGTCTAAGTGCTGTTGCTATTTGATGTATTGGATGTGTTTCAGGTATGCAACATAGCCAATAGGTACTGTAGGATGTGCATTGTATAAAAACAAAAGAGCACAACTATATATTGATCCATTGCTTTCATATGTTTAAGAAGCAAATGTTTTTACACAAGGGAACAAAGAAGAGAAGTTAAAATATGGGAAGCTGTCCATGTAGAAAAAAAATGGAGCTATGTGTGCTTGATGTGTCTGGCTTTCTGCAAATTAGTAGTTATGATAAGATGCAGGGATAGAAAGATTCATCTTGCATCTACAACAAAATGGAGAGCGGACAGCTGTGAAGCTATGCAAAGATAGGAAAGAATAGAATTTGTATGATTTTCTTTTTTTTAAATTACACAATCTCCATCCACAATAAATCAAACAAAAATAATATTTCTGGGTATTTTATTAGTTTTTAATTTTTCACTTCCAGGCAGTAGCACACACAATAGGCTAGTAAATCTGTGCAACACTGCCCTCCTTTGCTCAAATCATAGCAGCCTCTAATGTTACTTCCAGGTTCTCAACAGAAGCTACACAGAAAGGCAATGGGAACCTATTATCTATAAAGATCTTTGCTGCAAATCTTGCTTCAATGGCAAGGACATTCCAAGCCAGTGGGAGCCAAATATTTATTGTCAAGGTGGGGAAAGGCAAGGTTAAAAAACCAGAAAGACCCATCAGTACATTCCTTTCTCCAAGACCCTATTGTCAGATTTCTATCTTAGAACTGTAATAATGTAAAAAAATAATTAAAAAAGGACTGTTCACAGCAAGGCTATAATACTGACACATAGATTAGGATCAAGGAAAACTAGATTCTACAGGAGTGATGGGGAGAGTGGGCTAAGACCAGACAGTTTTAATGAAAAAGGAGATTAAGAAAAATAATTTAAAAAGATTCCGGTTCAGTTGGCACTGAATAATGAAGGCCTCATCAGCAATCAAGAAAGCACCTGCAAAAAATAATATATATCAAGGTAAGAAAATCAGTTTAGATTTTGGATTTATGTGTTGCCATACTTTTAACTATGGTTTGTTAATTAACCAATAATTTGCTGCACAAATATGAACCAAAAAACAAGCCATATTATAGCTTGCCATAATGTGTGAGTTCACTATCTTAACTGAGCCAGGAATTACAGCTGATGTTCCCTAATATCTTATTTTGTTAATTCTATTTTCAGTGCCCTAAGAAGTTGGCCTAATCAGTTCTCGGGGCTCAGATTTATATCAATGGCTGATCTGATCAGGTATAATACACACTATCCCTAAAATGGATATTACATACTGTATATTCCAGACCCCTCCCAGCAGCATAAGGAAATGTAGGATAAATATACACATATGGTCCTTCTCTCCATTTCAGGGAGGCATCCAGACGTGTCCTAGGTCCTAGACTTTCTTTGAATTCCTTAAACATTTGGATGTATGCGTTCAATCTTTCCCAATCAAAAGCCAGGAGTAATACCAAGACAATTAACTCACCAGCTCAACGATCAGTAGTTGTGCGCAAATCTGTGGTCAGTGGATCGTGCTGGATTGTCTGATGCAACATGAGGGCAAGCAACCCAGCCCGGTTAGTCATAGCCATCCGAACATTTCGTTCCTGCTCAAACAGCTCATCCAGCTTGTACCACTGCCAGTGAATAAAGACATCCTAAATTACTATCCCCATTCTTAGATCAATCCCAGGAAAACTATTTCTTCAACAGGTCTATATATAGAGAAGGCTCCCTGTTCACTCCTCGACATCTCCATGTTGATCTGGAGCTGAAAAGCTGAAGAGTTGATGCCAGCCCATGTGAAAAATTCTGGACTAGAGAGGGTAGTTGTCCAATTTATAAAGTTATTTTTAAATAAATAAATGTTTAACAAAAGGTTAAGCCTTTGTGTTCCTACAAGATCCTGAACGTACCACACGCACTCGCTCCAAGTCCACCTCAGCCCGGCGCAACTTCTCCCAGCAGTAGTGCCGATTGCATTTCCGTTTGGGCACCCGGCAGAAATCTCCAGTGAGCTCAAACACATCTTTTACCATGGGGCAACCACACACCTCGTCTGCCGAAACCTACAAGAAAAAGTCCGAGTCAAGATTCAGCAAGAGAAACCGAGAGTTACATCTACCCTGACCAAATACCGCCCCATCCTGTGACACCCCAAAGGCAGCTAAGAAAAAGATGTAATTTTAACAGTATTGGTGATACAGACTTGATCATTTATTCTGGACAGTACAGTCTTCCTAATCTGGGGAAATATTACTCGACCATGCCCCCAGTTAAGGGTTCAACAGATACTGCCAGAATCTATATGAAACTTAGTTGTACAGGTACAAGTCTGTATCTTTATGTA